CAGTCACAACTTTGGTTATGATCATGCAAATGGCTTTTTCCTCTCCTGTAATCGCCTTCATTTTTACCATATTAATCAGCCAACATTTGATTAAACTGTCACAATCATAAATTTTTTTTTTTTTTTTTTTTTTGTATGTCTAATTTATCAATTGGATCTATTTGTTATTGATATAGTAAATGAGACGTTGTCCCTAGTTTCAGCTCAAGTTTTGTTTTTTCAACATCAAAGTTGGGAGTAGATTTTATACTGCTGTAAAATATCAAACTATTTTATGGTCAAGTGTTCTGTTTCTAATGATACTTCATATATTTAGTTGTTGCAGTTCTGTTTTTGAAGTGCTTGACATAGGAAAAAGGAAAAAAAAAAGGTTTCTGTGTCAGGTTTGTGCTTTATGCAAATAGGAAAATGAAAAACAGACAAAATTACTTGGTGGTTAAATATTTACTGTTCAGAGATGCTTGTACTTTTTGTAATCTTTAAGGATATGCGTTTGCTCTTGGTACCAATCCCATATTGTGCGTCTTGCCCGATAGTAGTTTAAATATTCCATTAAGCCGAGAGTTGATATGTGGCTTTTTTGTTTTTGTCTTCACTATGTAATTCAGGTAATTTTTCATGACTTTCTCATCACAAGGGCTACTCTTAGCAGCTTTGGTAGAAATGAAAGGAATCTGAATGGTGTAGAGCAAAAGGCGCAATTAATTAGCCTCGGGAGGGTGCCTGAATCAGGAGTGTGTTGACATCCTTTTGAGAGCAGCAGTCCACAGAAGCCTGATAGACGGCTGGTGGCCGTTTAGGTACCCCCCGCCCTCCCCCTGTTTTTTTTTGTTTTTGTTTTTGTTTTTTTTACCTTCAAGAGAATAACTAAAGGAAGTTGGGTTTCTTAAGTTGCAATAGGATGTTTTTAGTGTCTTTTCTATTCGACCTTATCACCCAGGTGATCCCATTATGAATTATGTGCTGAAATCAGCGATGCAAAGTTTTCCTCTGTGCTTTTACATATTTGCCTCTTCATTGGTAGTGTTTTCATGCTTGACTTTGACACTGGCTGCATGGGGACGGGAGGGGGAGAGAGAATGCTGGGATATTTTGACCTTAAGTGCACATTGAACGAGGCGGCAGGGTCAGATTAAACTTACCCTGCTGGACTGTAATCTTTACTTTGTTTTAGATGGTAAATGGTTAATCTTTGGTGCTTCACGAAACATTTCAAAGCCTTTATTTTTGACCCACTTGCCCATGTGATGCTGACTGACTGAAGCTGGCCTTTTGGATGCCACAGAAAGGCACGTTCAGGAAACGCTGTTCCCTTGAGCCGTGGCTTGCAACCTTGAGAAAATACTGTCCTGCAGACGGTAAAAACACAAAACAAAGGTTGCGTTCAGCCTCTGGTGTCAGCACGGTGGCGTCGGTTTCCACTTGCTGACGACGTGGATTTTTACGCTAACACAGAGTCCCATGGTTACACTACCAATGACCAGAGCCGTCAGAAAAGCCGGTTCGGTTATTTTTAATAATCCTTTTCTTTTATATCTACTTTGCTTCATTCTACACACAATGCATTTTAACAAAGACTCACATGACAATCCAGTACAAAATGGTGTGCCAAGCAAATTCTGTGTTAAGCAAAGGCTTCAAAAACCTGTTTAACTTGACCCAGGCCTGTGCAGTGAAAGTTATTGCAGCATTTAATTGAGTCTTACTTGTGGTTTTAGTTTGCAAATGAAGCTTGCATGTTGAGCCTCATTTCTTTCTTTTTTTTTTTTTTCCTTTTTTTTTTTTTCCTTTTTAAATTGTATTTATTGAAAAACTTGCCAAATGAAGGTACTGAAATGGCCATTGTGTTTTTGGTGGTTGAATATGCTGCGTGTTTACATCTGCCATTCTGCGCTCTCTCTTATCTCCTTTATTTGATTGGACTGTCTATTGTTTCCCTGGGTCAAAGGCACTGAAAATACACCGCTGCAATGGGCCTGCGTTCATGCAACTTGTCCATTCAAGCACGCTCGTTGGTACTCTGAGGTGTGTGTGTGTGTGTGTGTGTGTGTGAGAGAGAGAGAGAACACTTTGATGGGTGTTGCTTATGCTTGAGGTCCATTCTGGTTTCAGGGATGGATATAGTGATATTAAAAAGCTCTTTGCATCTTTTTTTTTTCTTCTTCTCCCCTTTTGTAAGGTTGACACACCGTATTTAGGACCACTTGACATGATTTTTCTTTTCAGACAATTCAAATTTTGTGTAGTGGTGTACAAATTGAAAGTAATGTATTTTTGTTTTGTTTTGTTTTGTTTTAAAGTATACCAAATGTAAATTCTGTACAATGAGTGTGCCAATCCCCTTTTCTTTGTAAAGCCAGACTCTTAACAAGTGCCAATGTTGTGGAAAAAATTCAGAGGACCTGTGGATTTCGTGGTCCAGTTTTTAAAGCAAACACTAAGTGTGTGATTAATTAACAAAAAGGACAGTTTTATTCTATATTTAAGATTAATGATGAACTGCTGTTTTTAAAAATAAGTGTCATTTTAACTGCATGCGTTTTGTCAGGTTGGGGGAGGGAGTGGGGGGTGAGATACTCTATTCATGCAACGCCCTCGAGAAAAGGGTCCTAATGGTTATTGATTTACAGTATTTTAGCCATATTTCTCTATTTGTATGTTTCATTTCAACCACTGTTGCCTGAACCTCATTCATACATGATGATTTTTACATAGCCTTCTCCTTTAAATGTTTTAAATTGGAATAAAATATGTTCCTATACTCTCTTCTTGCATCCCTGTACTTTTATTCTCAAGTATTTTTATTTTTTTTTATTTTTTATTTTTATAAATAGTGACTTGAAGATTCCACCATTTAAGGTCATGTGTAATTTCTGAATGCATTTTATCCACATGGATTGGAAAATGATTTGTTGTATAAATACTGCTGCCCTTTGGAAAGCAGCGACCTCTCTCTGCAGTCTTAAGGTAGGATACTGTTTAGTGAAAATGGATATTAACAAACAAGTGCTCAAGTGACTGGGTAACAAATCATTTTGACTCTTGAAGGTAATCGCACACTACTTTTCACAAAACTATTTTGATAACGCAGCGCACATATTTATTTTTTTACTTTTAGCGCCTTTTAAATCTGAGATTAAGACGTCCTAAAATGGGTTTTGAAGTATGGAAATCCCAACTTGTGAAATGCATATAAATATATACATTCAGTATGTGGTTCAGCCTCATTTACCGTGAGTTACCCCAAATTGATGCAGTGGATGTGTTGCTGAACCAAAGTTAGATTTTTCTTATCCTCCTCTCTGTGGGGTTTGAGTCAGGTGTGTGAGCTGGCCAATCAAGTACAGTAACAAGATGGTCAGCAAACCATTTGGTGGTGGTTTTAGCACTGCGGGCAGGTGCTGTGTCCTGCAAAAAAGGAATTTAGCATCACCGTAAAGTGCTCTAAAATATTGTCATACGCTGTGTTGACTTTGGACTTGGTAAAATGCAGCAAGCGCCAACACAAGCAGATGGCATGACACCTCAAATCATCAGACTGGAAAACGTTCACTGGACTTCAGACACTTGGATTCTGAGCCTCGCCTTTATTTTCCAAGAGACAATGTGCTAACTGAACAGTTCTTGTTGTCTTTAGCCCAGGTGAGATGCTGTATAGACGCTGTCACTGGCTCAGGCGTGGTTTGATATTAGGAAAGTACATGAACGAGGTGCTTGATGCTTATTTTGTTTCTAAGGAGCCAGACTATTGTAATTTTTAAAGTGGTCTTGAACAGTTTCTACAGCTGATCTAAGAGTTTTTCAAATTTTTTCTTTAGGCATCGGATGCTTTTTCAGTCTTGTCCTTGACCATTTTCAGAGGAATATTATTTTTTGTTTTGTTATGCCACTTAACACTGACCTATGAATCATTCAAGCATACAAAAGGCCCCTAACTGAAGACAGTTGTCTACACATAACAGACAACTTGGCAAATAATCAGTTTTAAAGTGTATCTTTGAGCACTTTGTTGCCACCAGTCTGACGCAAAAACAAATAAACTGTTTGAATTTTAAGATGACAGTTTGACAGCTATAAGTGTTTTGCCCTAAAAGGTGATTCAAAGAAAGCCAAAGAGGCTTCACACTGTTGAAGAACAAAGGTGGTCAAACTACAGACTGAATTTCAAGCATCCAGACTGTTTTTGCCTCACATACGGTATTTCCATGCATGTTTCCACTTCGGTGCAGTCATTTATTGAATTGTCCCATTTTTCCTAACAAAACGAAGCAACGAGGGGTGATTCAGAACTTTTGCATCTTACCGTAGAGTTAAGGAATTTTCATAACTTCACTCTTAAAAGTATAAAACACTCACTGTGGTTCTATTAAGTTCTATGCCCATAACTGTGAATTTAAAGGTAAATAACAGTCATTTGCTCCCAGTAGAGTAGAGAGTTCACATAAAAGATTTCTTCAGTTCAGCTCTCTACAACAGGGATGTCCATTTTACATCGTTTACTTTGATATTAAGTGGGCCGAACCAGTGAAACTTCTGTTTCTGTCAGTGCAAAGCAGTTTAACTACACATTTAATCCCTGAGATATCTTAATTTAAGAAAAAGAAGTACAATTTAAGCACTTAAAATTCTCAGCTTTTCTAACTCTGTCAAGTATGACTGCTTGATGTATGAATTGTAAGTGTGGACCTACTTTTAAAAAAGTTTCTGTAGTAGTTTAAAAAAAAAAAGAAATTTCAGTTACGTTATTGTCTGTGTACTTTGGTGTAGTGCGAGTGGACATAGGGCAGTTCTGTAAGTCTAAATTTGATTCCCTCATTCAAATGTTTCAAAGCCATTGATGGGCTGGATTAGTGGTTCTCGGACCGATTCTGATGTTTGTCTAACAACTAAAACCTATTTTTAAAATATATATTTTTAATGTGTTAATATTATATTTTTTTAATGTAATAATTACTCGTTATTCTTGGCGATAAACTATGGCACACAAACCTCCAGTGGTGAGTGGGGAGAGCCTGTGTGTGCTGACCTGTCCGCATGAGGCGCTGCTTGCTCAGACTTGGGCCTGCTGCTGTAGATCCGCGGGGTGTAGAGCTGCTCTCCGCGCATCTATCCGTGGTGTTTCTGTGTGGGGCGTTCAGCCCAGCAGCGTCGCCTTTGCCTACCCACCAGCTTCGGGAAGGGGCTGACTTTCTTGCTCCGCTGCCGATCCTCCCGCACTCCCTCCGTTCAAGAGGGGATAAACACAGAGTTAAAGTCCAAGCCGGGCAGCGTTGCAGTTTCAGCGTTAGCGGCGATTTTAATTTATTTTTTATCCCCCCTCTCTCTCTCGCTCCCTCCACTCACGCGACTCAATTGTTGCCGTTGGACCAAACGGGATTGAACTTGAAACGAACCCGCAGACATTTTGTTATTTCTGAGATTTCTTCTTCACTTTTTTCATCCCTGTGGCGCCTGCGGGGAGCGAGCCGCGAGCTGTAAGGGGGCCAACGGCACGAGGCGAAACACGGTCGGCGTTCACCTTCCGCTCCGCTCGCGGGCTGCATCCAAACATTTAGTGCACGCACGGCGTTATTAATTTACCTGCGCTGAGCTCGCGACGCTGCCGCTCGTGCGCTAAAGCGGAAAGCTTACGACGGCGATGAATCATTTTGACTGACAGCTTTTGAAGAATTAGCTAGCTTTAGCCAGCACTGATGGTGCTTTCCTGCTCACGCTAAAGCAGTAAATACGGGGTCGGGACAACCCAGATAGGACACAGACTCTTTTGCCTCTCTAACGGCCGCAAAGTGCATCACTTATAATCGGCTTAATTTTATATTTATTTATTTTGTTTAAAAGAGGTGGTGGGGTGGGGGGAGTCCCCTAGCTACTGTTAGCTAGTCATCCTGCTAACGCTGGACAGCTCCTGTGTACGGCTGGGCTAGCTTTGGACAAAAGAAAGAGCAACGCAAGGGGAAATATAAACATCGTGTTTGGGAAGGAGAGCAACAAACAAGGAACTGACATGATGTTTCCACAATCAAGGCACTCAGTAAGTGGCTTTTCATTTCAGCACTGTTGTCTGCTACGTGTTTACGCATGCAGGTTGAGTCGGGGAGAGAGGAGATTACGCATGTGACTTGTTTCTTGGCTGCAATTAAACAGAGTTGCGTTTTTGTTTTGTTTTTTAGTAAGAAGAAGCAGTCTTTGTGGGGCAGTAGCACAGTGTTGGTTTCTAACTGGCACCGTTTAGTTCTGTAGAGGACGTGTGGACTCGACATGGCAGTATTTGTAATATTTGCATTGAAAAGCTGTTAAACTTTTTTTTTCTCCCAGATGATTGCACTGAAAATCATCCAAATCAAACCTCAGTTGAATGCTGTCACGTTTCATAACCACACGCTGCTTTCACTCCCTTGTGCCGTTTAGTTTCATTCTCCAAAATGCCAAAAAGCAGGCATTTAGGCAAATTGAGCTGTGCACTGTTACATGCAGGTGGGTGATTTTTTTTTCCCCTATTTTATTTATTTATTTATTTTTATGAGTGGAAAATGCACATCTCTGTTCTCCTAAATTCCAAGTTTCCATGGTAACAGATACTAGTCCAGGGCATGCATTCATCAGTGAGGAAGACTCTCAGCCCTTTGGTCAAACATTTATGTTTAGTGACTGGCAGAACTGTGTCACCTGTCACTGCATGGCTTTAGAGCCCTGATTCTATTAGCTAGAAAATTAAATTAAATAAGTATGTTTTTTCAATCTTTCTGGGCTTACATGTGACTTAAAATTACATTGGAAACCTTCTCCATTGTGTTATGAGAAACCTTTTGATGGCCTCCAGTTTTTGCCCTCTGCAAAGGTGAAAGTAACAGAGTGATAGATCCAGGTAAACACAACAAACCGCAAAAAGACTTTTGCTTTGCTGTTATGAATCATGCCCTCTGTTTTTCTCTGGCAACATTTTGTTGCCACCGCTAGTTCTCTTACCGTTGAAAGGGTAAGGGTTGTTTGCTGAAGCCGAAACCAGAATGTCTTCTGACACGAATGCTTTGCCCTTTGGCAGTCTGTGTGGCAGCCTGATTATGCTGCACTGTGCTGCTGCTGCCACTGATGTGAGTCTTCAGAAGTAGGATGGAAGGATTTGGGAACCTCTGGTTGCAGTCTGGCTTGTCAGATCGGTGAAACCCTTCATAAGCACAGAGTCCCAAGAAACCTCAGCTAAATTATGTTATTTTCAATGCCATCTGCAAATCCGAGAATACATAAGTCTCTGTTTATCCTTATGAATATCTCCTAAAGTAGAGAGTTTATCAGAGGTATGAAAGCAAGAGGAAAAAAATTTATTTGTCTACAACCATTTTATTAGCATAATAACCAAATCAGATACAATTACAGCCTCTTACATTTTGTTTGTCTTTGTGCTAATTAATATGCTTCAGTTACAAACAGACCTTTCACAGTTGTTGAGGTTTGTGTAGCTACAACGTGTAGTTACATATTTTGGAAAGTGCAGGTCCAGCATGGCGTATGGAGCTCTCTGAGGTCTACCCTGTAGATTAAACACAGTACTACAAATCAAACATTAGACAGGACACAAATCCGTTATTCTTTATGTGTATTTAAAACTGCTGAATTTCATGTGAGAGAAAGCAGATTTGAATTATTGCTTCACTAACAAACTGCAGTTCAAGGTTGCTCTCATGAGCTTGGGAGACCACTCCCCCTTTCCCTCGTAATCCATTCCCAAACCCTGCATTTATTGCAGATGTACTAAATTGAACCCTAATGCATAGAAACCACCTTGTTCTTAGTAGCAGAGCAATCCAGTTTAAACAGTTACGCAACTTTAGAGCCAGTGTAATCTACATCAATACTTGCATCAAACAGAAAACCGATAGCTGCCAAGAGGCTCGATGGATTCAAATGCAGTGTAGCGCTACTCCTGTTCTGACAAGATGTTTTGGACTTCCTCTTCATAACGTGCACTGTCAAGCGGCAAGAATGGGTTGACATTAAAGTTCTGCCTGCATATGAGGATTTCCTCGGGTCACAGGGTGGCAGCGTACTTGACTGCTTGCTTTAAATGTGTTCACTGAACTGATCATGGTGATTTTATCTTTATCCTCACCCCGCAGTTCTAAATTAAATTCATCGAGCAGGCCGGTCAGATCTGTCAGGAACGCTAAGTCCAAAAGCTACTGGCAGTCCTCTAGTTTTGCATGTTTTCAAGCTTCAGAAAACCAACTCTTTTAGGTTGTGTTCATACCTCTGAAAATTTCCTTAGTAAGAACAAATGGGCTTAGAATTTGACAACGTTTGCATACAAGTACTTTTGTGCCATCTGGTTACAATTTAGTTATTTCCTTACTGTGAAAAATTGCAAGTGTGTATGTGAGAGACACTGGGGAGTTTTTATTTGTCACTTTCACCATGAAGACAGTAACATGTTGAACTTGTTTACAGATAGAGATGAATACTTGAGTCTACCTTGATTAGAGGACAGAAGTGGATAGATATCAGGTACAGAAACAGGAAAAACTGTAAAGTCATAACATTTAGTAGCATTTAAAAAAAAATACTGAAAGTTAATGTTAAGTGTTTGTTCTGTGTAACAGTCAATTGAGTCTGTTAGGTTACCTAATTTTTGTAGTGGCTGTCTAAAAGAAAACAAGTACCACCTGTGCATAGTCCCAGCAGTGTTGCAACTTGAGTCTCCTGATAGAAAAGAACATTTAGTCATTATAGTTATTCATATAAACACTGGTGTACATTTTTGTGTAAGGTGTGTTGTGTAAACCACAACACTGTGGAGCTACTGCAATAACGCAGCTGCCAGCACCTTGTTTACTTAGTTGTTTACTTGCACTTACTGCAAGCATCAATAAAACATTGTTCGGTACTTCTTTTTTTTTTTGCATTGTCATTTACGCAAATTTTATTGAAAAATTGTGATGTCATTTTGAGGCTATATCGCCCACTCCAAATTGTGCATGACTATCTCTGGAAGAGAAAGTTATTATTGTAGCTTTTGTCTTTGTCTTTGCCAGAGTGCTGGTTACCACAACACTGTGTATATCCTCCCAGATACTCCTAACATTTGAGTGAATAACAACCTCTGCATTTTGTTTGCTTCCAGTGGATCTCTGTGGATCCTAAAGAAAACCTTTTATCAGAGAGTACAGTAAAGGTACTTATGTCAGACAGTTGTTTTTATTGTATTATTAATATTAAAACCTGCACCTCACATTGGGTAATTACTGGGACGAGATGCCATCTTCGGTCTTCTCTCGTCTCTGGTTGAAGTTATAAACCAGTCACCTCCTGATGGAGTGAGTCCTCAGTCACCTTTTCCAAGGTGAGAGCAGCTGGGCCACTCCACTCCTGCCTGTCTACTTATCTAGGAGGTTATTTTTCTAATCCAATTGAGTGCTCTTTACGCTTTATTGGAGTATTAAGACCAAACTCACAGGATTAGACGTGGGGTTTGGGAATTTAACGTCTTTTCACCGGAGCTGCAGCTGGTTCAGTCTTAACCGACTACAGTCGGTCACGCCTAACCTTTCACATACACACCGCCCTCCACTGTGAATTTTCACATAAATAAACTGTACAAACACACACATTCCCTGTTCAGATCCTCTCTTCAGTTGCTGCTGTTGTCATAAAGGTTCAGGGATGGGAAGTATATGTGACACCCATATAGATATGAGTGTCACCGATAAGGACCTGGCGGATGAGAGAAGTGGCACCGCGATATAGCAAACTGATGGGTCTCGCAAACAAATTTAGTTACATACACATTCAACAATCCTCTCATGTCAGATTTTCAGGGGAAGCTTTTATTGGTTGGGATGGTTATTAAAATATTTAGGTATTTTTTAAAGCTGTTGACTTTACTGAGACACTTGAGGCACATTTCCTCAATGCAAAGTGTATCTAAAAGGCATATTTGCAGAGGCCGGTAGGCTTTTAGCTGTTTCATAATTGTACACAAGTGACAGATTTTCCCGTCTCCGTACTTTTTGCTGTTTGGATAGTTGCTTCTTTCCACGGATATCTGAACCCATGGACCATATCAGCTAAGTCGATAACATTACAATTTTAGCAAACATTTAAGTGCAATTTATTTGCTTCATTGTATTTTCAGTCCACTCTACCTTTGTTGAGGCTACAGATTTAAATATACTGATTCTAATTTTTTTTATAGGTTTCATATACACTGAAGCAAACGCTATCATATTGTCTGACGCTGGGAATACAACGGGCAGCTGGGTCTTGGAAGCAGTTTTGTTCCATACTTGGCATGGCTTTAGATCAGACTGGGAGCATTTCAGAAGCAGTGTTCAGTCTGTATAAGGTCTTTTAATTTGAAAATTGATTAGATTCTCTTTGCTATTCCTGTGGCTTGATTTCCTGCCCTCCTCAAGTGTTCTGTGCAACTTGACTGCTTCGGTTAAAAGCAGCACAGAGTGGAGAACTGCTGCAGGAACGCTTCTGAAATATCTGCTGGAATTACAAGTTGTTTTAGGTGAGAATAAAAAATGTGACCTCAATGACAAAGAAGAGGCTATCTTCAGCTGCTCTGTTATTCACAAGGGGTCTTCACAGTAGGTAGCTCGGCATGTTTGATTTGGCAGAGTTTTTACGCTGGATGCCCTTCCTGATGCAACCCAATAAGGACTTGTGTCTCCTCCGGGATCCACTCGGGACACGATCAGTTGGCGAATATGTAAACACTGAACTCGACCTTGACCTTAAGCACAGTTTGGGTGAACACCCATTAGTTTATCAGTAATATTTTAGGAAAAATAGAGATTCTTGTGAATTTTGGTCAGTGCATCCCTTGCTGTGAGCTTATTGGTCATTTTACCGTTTAAGCTATTCATACATGATTTTTGTTAAGTGAGTAGGCCAGTTCATTGCATGCTGCTTGGTTATTACATTTGTTTGCTATACTATGAAGCACTTTGAAAACAGCCACAGCAGATAGAACATGCTGTTGAAAAAGTGAGTAATTACGTTGAAAATGATAAAAGTCCAAAAACAACAAAA